AGTGGGGCGTAGATCCAACGCGGGAGCTTGGACGAAGCACCCGTGTGGGAGCTTCTAGAGACCTTTCACGCAAGGCCTTTGAATATCGGTTAGGTTTGTTGTTCTCTGGTGGGCTGGTTGACGGTCCGTTGTTCGTGATCGACCCTTAGCCTTATGCACCCAATGAGACAGCCAGAACGTGGACGGGACAGCACTTTATTGGCTGAGGGCTGCACAGCTTGGGCGGGCGGTAGCTGCCCAGTGAAGTACAAAGACTTCTCCCACCGTCAGGAGGAAGTCTCAGGTACCCCGCTCCTACGTCCATCTAGCGGGGTTTTTTGATCGGTAAACTGCCCTATCCAAGGACGGGAGTGGATAGTCAAGGGAAGCCAGGAGGTGCTGAAGCAGCTGGCCTTGTGAGACCGATCTTCGTCTGGCCTCTACCCATTGACCTTTTAGACATGATTGGACCTTTGGGTGAGAAACCATCCTGCGTAGCTTGCAGGGTCATGGTCACGCCAGCCATCACACCAGGTCAAGGTGCAGTCTCGTCGTGATGGCGTGTACAATGAAAAGAAATTAACAATTTATTCTAGTTTCCTGTTTACCATTAGTACTTTGCATTTGGTTTAGGCAGTGTGGTATCAACTGATCACAATATGCACTGAAGATAAAACAGCAAGGATACGGACTTAGGCGATGACAGTTGCAGAGCCTAGAGTATAGATATGAAGTGTGTGTAATTGATATAACGATGAAACTTACTGCCAACGGTATTACGAAATTATAGGCGAATAGTAGAAAAGGATGCAGATTTGATACTGTATACTCATACCCACGGGACAATGGGGCAATGCGGTAACTGTTATCTAGATCACTTACGCGATAAATCGAATAGCCAATGGTGTGATGCTCTTGAAATACCTCGCGACGACTTTTTTGCATCAGCCCGATAATAATGGTACCCGTGTTATCATCATCCGTTTCGTCCGGATCGATAACTTGGACACGATATTGTGGGTTCATATGGAATGTTCCTAGTTGTACACGGGTCAGGGTGGAGATGCGATCGGACAAATAACGGATGCCATTGTAAGTTGAAAGAATAATTAGTCACTTCAAATTTATTTTAACTCTGCGCATACAGAGTGAGTCTAACAGCATAGATGACCGAAACAGCGGAGAAAACTTCAAAGTGATTAGCCCTAATTCGGCGATCGATTTCTCTACTGTCGCTAACTTACAGTTCAACTAACAGATGAAGACAGGCAGGCAGACAGACAGACAGACTCAATGAGTTACCGAAGTTTGCCGTCAGACCCCAGGAAGCAAGCGCTGATCTAAACCACCGTAGCAAAAAGCATAAATGACGCTGACTGTCTGGTGTTTTAAATCCCCATTCTATTCTGCATTATCAAGCTATTCACGAGTAATAAAGCGCAGTCTCTTTTGTATTACAATCCCACAGAAAGTTGACCTTAAAACTTATACGATAAAAGGGACATCAAAAGTTAACATCAGATAGTACGACGAAAGAGCAATAGGAGACAGACATACTTGCATTATTCCGACAACCACCCGCCGTTGAGTGCTTTACCCATTCACCCTCTTCTCGAGTCATTTCCCAACGTCGTTTTCGTTCGTCCTGTTTGAAAGAGCGTCCGAACGACCCCGATTCCGGGCCCAAATGACAGAATTCCAAGCGAGAAAAGTAACGCGTGAAGTCCGAGAACGGCATCCTGAGAAGAAAAGATGCAGGAGGTAGAACAAAACAAAGAATGCAATTGCAAGTTACGCCTGCTAATGATACCACTCTCTGAGGAATGGGAAGTCACTCGCATTAGGAAGGGTCATGAATCGGTATTTTATTACGTAAACTCAGATTGAAGTTAACATTTCTGTTAGCAAGAGAATCCCCGAGGTGATTCTAAAAACGAAACGTAGCCGATAGAGTTGGAATACTAAACAATCGTTCGTGAGGTTCAAATGTACTTGATATTGTCTCTGCTCGGCCGCCCATAGCACAATGAATTTTTAATTTGGAACCAAAAACTAGGAATCGCAAAGCAATGATCGTCAACTCCAATCATAGTGACTGCACCGGAAAAATAAAGATCAATCATCGTGTACATTGTGGAGAGCAACGGCTTCCCGTTCAATGAAAACAAACCGGAATGCTTTTACATAATCATCCACTGAAGCGTAGTGCGAGAAACATGACAGTGCAAAGACCAGAACATGATATGGGAACCAAATCAAGGGGATATTGGGGACACTAAGCTTAATTTTCACAAGACATTCTTATATATGCTCTTGCACGCAACCCAAAATCGGAGACAAGCATGACCCGTGACTGTTAGATTGCTTCATATTGAAAAATCAAACCCTCACGCCGGTTGCACATCATTTCTACTCGAAAACACGTTTCTGTTTCCGTTTTTACAATCATTAAACATGCACTTTCGTGCGCTGGTATTGGTTGCTCTCTGACGACTTCCCATTTGGATGAAAAAGTAAAGGGAAGAATGGAATGTTCGAATCAGTGTTAGAGTGAAAATAGAGAATTCATGATAAAAACATTTACTATACAGGTGCTTTATAGTCTCACATACCAGAATTCCCCATCATTCTCGAAAACGAGACCGATTCGTTTTCGTTCAATGGAAGAGATACTTTTCCATTCGACCGAACCGTCACTCCACGGACCATACCATTCACGATCATTACCCCAGGGATTGCGCAACCGGACGAGCTCGACTAATTTTCGACCACTCCCAACCTAGGTATGTGTGTGCAGGAGAGGAAAGTTAAGCAAATGAAGATTAGAACCAGATGAAAACCAGACGGAGTCGGTGGTCAACGAGTCTAAGGAAGAACTTCAAAATGTGAACCTGAAACAAGAACAATGAAACAGCTGTCAGTGTATTAAACAAGAACGGAGAACACAACGACGGTAGGTGAATCGTATGAGCTCATGCAGTCCGAATCGGTTAGACAAAGAGGGGTGCACACATGCATACCGCTTTATAACGGCTTGAAACAGTTGAAATCTCAGGATCCTGTACAGCATACACCAATTCAATGAGTAGTTGATGAAACAAGAGGGATTGGTAAATGGGTAATGACAGTTGTGAGTATAAGGCACAAATATCGGAATGAAAAAATAGCATACGAATGCAATATTGGACTGACGCAAAGTAGGTCTTAAATAATACAGGTGGCAAAAATGTTTGTATGTTGATGTAATCATCACTCATGCCTCAACTCAAAAAGAAGTTAAATCATTCTAGGTGGTTAGGGAACAACGGTTGAAGCACGTATTCAAGGAAAACAGCAATCACAACAAACATGCAAATAGGTTTGAAAACTTTTAAGCTCGCACAACATGAAATAGACAAGTAACACACCACAGAATGTAAGTTCGGGGTTAGCCCATTGGAGTTGTACAAACCGCAGACGCCGTGTTTGGTACTGAAAGTTCATTAATTCTGTACACGATAAACGTATTCAATTTGTAAGCTCGTCTTTAATCATTTACAGTTAGGCGTGTATTTATACATAAGACGGAAATAAATGTGATTGGTTCTGTAGGGTAAATGGGAAAGTCGTGATTATGACCACTTTCAGTAATATCGGCCATCAGATAGACAAATAAACATTTAAAATCACCTACACAGTGCTCTAAAACTAGTCTAGGTACTTTCGGGAACTGCGGAGGCAGTCGAAACCAGAATCAGGAATCAATCATCATCCGGGCAGAAGAAAATAGTTGCCACGCTCCAGCTGCCCTGAACCCACCCCAACTGAACTGAATCACAATGTAAATCAAGTCGTGATGACGCAACATGGCGTGACAGATCGCGCGTGAATAAAAGGTCTTCGGAAATTTCCGCGATTGAACTTGGTTCCTCTGTAATTTTCATGTGCTCCGATAGAACTTGACATACTTAGAGTATCAAGTTTGGATTAGCCGATACGATTGTTCAGAGGCACCAGCCACTTTTGAAGGTCTTCGGTGTGGGTTTTACTCCTTGGGAGATCGTTAATTCCCCACGAGATAATGCATTCAAATGCGATGGAAATGTTTGGGATAACCAACAAAGAGCAACTGAACAGTTGTTTCGTCCTATTTGCGACTCATCAGCAGTGCGTACTTTTTGTGTCCCTCTCAGGACTCGAACCGCGATTAATTAATTAATCGATTAATGGTTGTGAAAACTGGAGAGTTCGAGTGCTGACAGGGACACAAAAAGTACGCCATACTGATGGGTCCCAAACAGGACGAAATAGCCGTCCAGTGCTCTTTGTTGGTTATCACAAACTTGACATGCTGTTTTTCTTTTCCATTTACCCTAATGAACCAAACACATTCGCCTCTGTCTTAAATATAAATGCCCACCTAACTGTAAATACTCAAAGATGAAATTATGGAAACAAGCTTTAGTAATATATTTTTGTCTTTTGATATTAATATGGGAATTTTCCAAGTAATCAATTTGCAATATGGTTATTTGTGGTGACCGACACCGAACAGGAGTTAGTCATTTTCACTCAGTTCGAAATAGTGAGTAATGCATATCTATATAGCCTAGCCGAGGCTCTCACTACGAACTTTCGGATTGGAAGTGAAAATTCTTACCCCTGAGTTGCAGGGTCAGTGTTCAACATCTCAAATTAATGGATATATAAATATCGTGTGTTGGATTGGACCTGCTAGGTCTCATCGTGCAACAACTGAGATCGCATGTATCCGGCTTTAACCTGAATTGAGAATAGTCAGCAGGGTACCACATGAGCATTAATGCGGATAATGTTTATGTGCAACTTATCACTAAAACCATTCGATGAAGCTCACTGATGAAATGCACGGGATCAGTAATGTTTCATGCTTGCTTTCAGATCATCCACGCGATTAGAGGATCGTGACCATTCACCGCACCATTTACCCCATTTTTCAAGATTTCAATATTCGGAATTCTGCTCTCTCTCTCTCTCTTTCTACCAAGAAACTCATCACAGTTTACCAGCTTGTTGTTTTCAGATAACACCGTCGTCTCTCTCAGTCAAAACGGTCAAAACGAGTCACAAAGTCATGCACAGCAGCTGTTTGTAAGCAACCAACAGCGGGCGAACAACGACAAACGGACAACATATTTGGGGAGGGGGGGGGACAAATGAGCATGCTGTTCTCACTCACATGTGCGAACTGAAACGGAGAAATCGAATGAACGGAATAGAAGTGCACAAGATTGCCATTAGGCCGAGTGCGGTACAAAACTAAGTTCTAAAATTTTCGTAAAATTAATTGATGCACTGGTCTGGACAAACATTCGTGCCTTTTGTGAACTCAACTGTAATGGCAATGAGTAGATCACCACACAGACGGAATCACACTAAATTATTAA